ATATTAATCTATGTATAATATAAATGTTTTTTTTTACTTTTTTAGTTATTACTTATAAATAATAAAAATATAATTATATATCTTTGAAAACAATATTGTTCATTAATTAATTGAAGATATGTAGATAATTAAAAAGAAAAAAATCTTAAAAGGTAGGTTAATTAATATGAAATTATGTATATGGAATTATTAAAATAATTACCATATAATTTATGTATTTAATTACGAAATGTATATACTCCCTCCGTTTCGAATTAGATGTCATTCTAGAGGAAAAATTTCGTTTCAAAATAAATGTCGTTTTGGAGTTTCGAGACATAATTTATTAGGTTTATATGATATTCTATTTTTCTATTGGTTGAAAAGTGGTTAGGTGTATTGGTAATTGTGTTTTTATATTGAAAATATATAAAATTAATTGTTTTCTTAATCTGTGTGTAAAAACCTAGAATGACAAATAAATTGAAACGAATGGAGTATGAAATTAATTATTTTCATTAATTATTGTTGCCCTGATTTTTAGTTAGAATTTGATGGAAATGCATTAATTAAAGAGATTAGACAAAAAAATTCTATAAAGTAGGCTAATTAATAACTTAGTGGCATACCAACAATTATGAGAACTCATGGATATTTTATAACTGTACTTCTATTTTAATAATAAAGATAAATAATAATAAAGATAAAATGTTGTTACAAGACATAACTGAGTAACTATTTTGGGATTTTATATGTTTATTTTGTTGTCAAAATGTGAAAATCCAGTTAGTATAAATGGTATAGAATGAAGATGCATTTATAAATTGAGTTGATTGCCGCAAGAGGCACATTGTGAGTTTTCTTCACACGGGAAAACACATTGTGCATGTGAGGCACATTTTTTTGGATGTAGTGGTGGTGTTTCTCCTTTTTGCCCTTAATGAGGCGAGAGATGATATGTCTCTGGTTTGTGAAACCGGTTTACAACTCATCTGCTCGGTTCGAACAATAAAGTATGTTTGGTTTGTAGTTTTGTCTTGCACCGTTGGATTGTATAAAGCACTTTTAGATCCTGCGGCTGTGATTTGAGCAGAGTTTTGTGAGCGTTGGGGATGATAAGGACGTGAATTTAATGCAAAGGTGTGTTCGACTTTGGGGAACAAGACAGAGAGAAACTAATCCAGAGGAGAGGCGGCAAACTAGGTTAATTTTTTTTGTCTCTGCATCGTTCTTTCAATACTTAGTAACTGTCTAACTTTTTGAATCCTGTTTGCAGTTGCAAATGGAGGAGCAGTGTCTTGTGATTTGTGGGGAATGGGTTTGTGGTCAGGGTAGCAGATGGAATTTTGTTGTCGACAAGCGGCAGATGGGTCGTCTAGTTCCAGTCTCGGATAGCGTTACAGTGAAAGAGCTTGAAGGCGTTGTTTTGAAAGAGTTTGGTAAGGAAGAAATCTCATGGGGAGCTGTTCTTAGTTACTGGCCGCCTAGTAGCATGGAACTTGCGACAGGGATTCGAACACCACCAGTTCAGCTTACAAGTGATGGATCTATCAAGTATTTCGTGAAGCACTTAAGGGTGAAAGGGTGTATGAATTTGTTTGTTAGGTTTGAACAGAAGATTTCAACGGTTGATTCTGTTGACGACAGTGGTATGGGTTTCGTTACGCCGGTTTCCTTTCCTCCGAAACGTTCATCGACCATCGCCTCTGATGTTTCTAACGGTGACCATGTCTCGACGGTTGGTTCCAAGGCTAAAGGTGTCAACTCTGTCAATGTGGAGTTCATGACAGAGGTGGAGAGAGTTGAAATGGAGTATAACAGCGGCCAAAAACTTGAGAAAGATAAAGTTTTTAGAGGGAGTAGTGGTGGTGAGGGGAGCAAAAGTGTTCCTAAAATGGTTGACGGGGAAGTGTGTAGCGAGAGCAGTGAAGGGGAGGAGGAGCTGAGTGAAAGGGTCGTGGAGGAGGTAGATGTTCGACCACGAGGCTATGACAAAGAATTCTGGCAACCGTTACTGGACACAGACTATCTTGGATCCAACGCTGTGAATGTCATATACAACGAGGACGAGATTGTAGATGGTTTGACAAGGGGTAGTGGAGGTCGCCGTTACAAATGTACCACCAATGATGCATTTGACCATGTTTTTGAGGTTGGGGGGGTCTAGCAGTGGCGTTAAGCTCCGGAAAGATGAAGAGTTTCGTAGACAAAACCCGTGGCTGAATGGTGTGGATGGTAATGTAAGTGTGGACAGGCCGCATCGTGTGTCCACAAGGAAATTGGAAGAAGTCGATGACGAGGAATTCGACATCCCTCCACTCTTTGATGATGTTACGTACGCTGCAGCAGAGATACCTGACATGGACTTGGATGAGAGGGATGGGAGGATATATGTTGGGAAGGTGTTTGGCAACAAGGAAGATTGTCAAATATCTTTGGCAATATATGCTATTAAGAACCAGTTTCAGTTCAAGCAGACAAGAACAAAGGTTGATTCTTTTGTTGTTGAATTTCCAGATAAGCATTGTGATTGGCGAGTCACAGCTCACGAAATCAGGGGGTGTGGGTATTATGAGATTAGGAAAGCTCAACTGGATCATCGATGCCCCATTGATTGGAGACAGGGTTATAAAAGCAAAGTTACATCTAAGGTTATTGCTGCTGTGTACAAGTCTAAGTTTGGTGAGGCTGGTAAAGGGCCTAAGGCGTCTGAGTTACAAAAACTAGTGCTGGAAGATCTACGAGTGACAACATCTTACATGAAGTGTTATAGGGCAAAAGAGCAAGCATTGATGGGGGTCCATGGGTCGGAGGAAGACTCGTACTTGAAGCTCCCTGAGTATTTACACATGTTGAAACTTGCTAATCCAGGGACTGTTGCTGATTTGGAGACTGATGTAGATGAAGATGGGGATGAGAGATTTGTTTATTTGTTCCTTGCGTTTGGGGCATCGATTGCTGGGTTTAATAAGCTACGTCGTGTGCTGGTGATAGATGGTACACATTTGGGGGGGAAGTACAAAGGAGTGCTACTTACTGCAAGCGGGCATGATGCTAATTTCCAGATTTTTCCCCTGGCTTTTGCTGTTGTGGACAGCGAGGACACTGAGGCGTGGACGTGGTTTCTCCAGAAAGTTGAGTGCATTTTGGCTGATTCCCCTACTCTGGCTATTATATCTGACCGTGCTACATCAATCTCTAATGCTGTGAAACGTGTTTATTCATCTGCTCACCATGGTGCTTGCATTGTTCATTTGGCAAGAAATGTGAACTCTCGTTATTCTAGCAAGAACTTGGCTAAGATGGTTACTGAAGCTGCAACTTCTTACAGGTTACGTGATTACAGAGAGAAGTTCAGTAAGGTTCGGGCCACGAACAGTGCTTGCGGTGTGTACTTGGGAAAAATCGGTTCTGGTCATTGGTCGAGGGCGAATTTTGCGGGGGAGCGTTATAATATTATGACTAGCAACATAGCTGAGCAGCTAAATAATGCATTGGTTGAAGGTAGGTCGTCGCCAATAATGGAATTGGTAATCTTCATTCAAAGGATGATGACTAGGTGGTTCTGTGCAAGGAGAAAGAAATCAGAGAAGCATAGGGGTGTAGTTAGCATTGAGGTGGATAAAGAGATGACTAAGAACATGGCAACAATGAAAGGTAGCAAAGTGAACTCTGTTTCTAATTGGACATGCGAAATTGTTGGAAAGTTTGGAAGTAAGGAGCGTGTGATGCTTGCTGAAAAGAAGTGTGATTGCAAGTATTTTGATAGGATACAAATTCCTTGTGGCCATGCTATGATTGCTGCTGACAGTTTGGGCTTGACATATGAGCCATTGGTGGGTCAGTGGTACAAAACCACAACTTGGAGGGAGACATATGCTGGTGTAATTAGTCCGGAGGGTGATCCAAAAGACGTGGACATTCCGGAAGACGTGAAGAAGATGGTGTTGATGCCGCCATTGACGTCGAGGCCAGCAGGTCGTCGTAGGAAGAACCGAATTGCCTCCACTGGTAAATTCACGGTAAAATGGAGGCTTATATTTGTGTGTTTAATTATTGTGTACCCATCATCGTTTTGAAATTAATCATTTAAAAAGTAAACTAATAGGTTGTTTGGTTAACATAATAAAGGTACCTAAGAAGAAGAAGCTAATTCCTAATAGATGTGGGAGATGCGGTGGAACAGGTCACAACAGGACTCGTTGCACAGAGCCCATATAGGGAGTTGAGATTGAAGGAGACCACCTGATCATGTTTTAGTGGTTATTTTCGGAGAAGTTTTTTATTACTGAGACGTAAGTAATTAAGACGATGAGTTCTAAGGTTACTTAAGGTGTTTTCATTTTGGATTATTATTATCTTTTGAGAGTAATTTGAAAATTGAACTCTTATAATTTCCTCAATTGCTATCTTTGGATTAATTGATTGAAATTGTATTTGGGAAGTGGATGATGTATGTTAGGTCATTTGAGTTGTGGATGATGTATGTTAGGTCATTTGTTGGCTTTGAGAATCCTTTGAGAATCTGTAATCACGAAGTTCGATTTCTTTAGACAGGAAAAGGGTAAAATGAAGGTGTGGATATTGTGAACTGTGGAGGCGACCACAGATTCCGCTGAACACATTAACCAAACTTAATCATATTATAGATGGTTTATGAGAGTCCTTTCAAAGTTGAACTCTGATAATTTCATGAATAGTCAGTCTACTTTGAATGGCTCTCTTCTCCTCTTTTTATTAATTGAGTGAAATTGTGTTTGGAAATTAAGAGCCGGAAAGTAATCTATCAGGAGAAAGAGGTTTTTGACTTGTGGATGATGTATTTTAGGTCAATGGTTGAACAAATTAAGAAATCTGTAATTTATAAGTTTCGTATGAGCTTGTGCATATTGAGACCTGTAAACATATGTTAAATGGTTGGTTTTGATAAAAAAAGTTCGATACATAGCAATAAGAGTTTACACTAGGGAATTGAGATTACATGTAACGAAACTAGGAAGAGAATCATTGTTTTTCCAAGACTAGAAGAGTTTCCAATAGATGCATGCCATAGCTCCGACAATTGCCACAACAGCTACAAAGTTATTAGTAGTAGAAGTGACTCCTATCTGTGTTGCCTCCATGTTTGAACCGAACGCCGAATGAAACTCTTCTATCATCTGCGTTTTGGCATCCAACATCTGTTGTTTCATCTCTGACATGTGTTGTTTGAGCTTGTGTTCACAGTCAGACTTGTGTTCATGGAGCTGATCAGCCACTATTTTGGACAGTGCCTGATAATCGTGGACAAGATCCATAACTTTCGCATCCACCATTCTAACTTCATCTAGAATGGCTTCGTCTTCCCATTTAAAGAGGTGTGACTCTGATTTCCTCTGATTAATTAACACAACACAATGAAGGGAATTAAGTTTGGCAGATATTTGAACACAAACATACCTCCAATTGGATCTATCGGAGATTACCTGGAGGACGACTTCGCAACGGTAGAAACGGCGAAATGGGTTCTCTTTTGTTTCTGAAGCCCAAATCTGAAGACCTTTCCCACACCAGCATTTGGTTGGGACACCGTGCACAGACCTGCGCGACGACGGTCGGGAAGATGAAGTTGACGAGCTAGTCATCGAGGGTGGGGGGGTTGATTCTGTCTGAAGAGGAGAGGTTTCGATGTATAGAGCCGTAAATCTCTTTTTGTTGTAGTTGAAACCCTAATTGTATGCAGCCGCTTATAAACTGTTTATGGAGGAGAATGATCAATTTGTTCCCCCACGATCTAGGTTAAACCGGCCGGTATTTTCATCAATTTTAATTTGGTCTGGTTATGTTTAATTGAAACCGGTTATTTCAAATTATTGTTGGAGTTTTGTGGTTTTACATAACGTTAAATAGTAGCAAACGAGATGGATGTTCCACGATTACCATTGGGTTGTCTATTACACATAATCAGTAGCTTCTAAATCCACATAATATTAGTTTCCGAAAAAAACTACGAAGGACATAGATTATAGTTGAAGAAAGAGTAGTTTCTGGCAGAGAGTTACTCTTAGATGCTTTCATCCAAACATTGGGGGTGCATGATAGGCAGGTAGCACGAACGTCTTGTACACATCCATGGCATACTGTTTTCGAAGGTCGTCCACCGCGATATCTGTGAGGCCTGACATTCCAGGTTCTGGATCACCGTGAGCGTGGAACTCCATGAACTTGATGCTGACTGGTCCACAATCACCTGTACGGTCGTTTGTGTAGATGTCTTTCATCCTCTTCCAGTAAAAAGGCTTAAGACCTCTGAATTGTGTCTGCTGTAATTTAGCGACCTTCTTGACGAGGTACGGGAGTGAAGTGAGTAAACCCTCCATGTAGTTGACAACCTTTTTGTGTGAGTACAGCGATGGAATGGGATCCAAAATCTCCACGCATCCAAGGTCGAGATTTATAGCGAGGCCCACCCAGTGTTTGTCACCCCAGCACATTGGCGTGTATATTGTGACCACATCCTCCATCCATTTGCTCCCCGGCTTCAGCACCAAGTCAGTCAGGTTCTTCTCCCATTTGAATCTGTCTTTCCTGCTTATTTGTTTGAACCTCTTCCATACCTCCTGGATCCCTGATGTTAGAAATGGTGTTGTGAACGCAAGCTTCTCACTCTCAAGCAGAACGCGGTGCCTCCCAGCTAGCATGTACATAAGTATCTCCATGTGTTGCATTAAAAATGTCACCAATAAATGACATTGTCACGTAACATCCAACATGACCTAAGCTAGTATTGTGTCATTCTGTTGTTCTCTAACTATCCCATAAACTGAACCACCAAAAAAAAATATAAATCTCTTGGAACTTACAAATGTTGATAACCATTTCTGCGGCTCAGCTATATCTAGGAGGAATTTGTTGGAGAAGTCAAATTTAGACGGAGTGATGTGAAACCTGTGAATGTGGATGAATCCCAAAAAATAATATAAAGTAAGTGTCATTTGTACGCTACCACTATATAACCTTAAGAGTTGATTTTAGGAAACGATGTCACTTACACATCCTTCTTTGTTTGGAGAGTTGAGGAGAATAGTTCCCACATCGTCTGCGGGAGCGGAGAGAGGATGGTGAGTGCTGGTACAGACGGGCACTTGAACAGTTCTGTTGCGAGATCGCATTCCTCTTCTGATGGCTGATGTCTGGGAGTTGGCTTGGCCGGCGAAGAGTCACTGAGCTCAGTACAATCCTCCGGTGAAATATCCTCCTGCGCAGAAATGATATCAAATATATGAACTATTCCGGAACAATTGACACCTAAGAAAGCTGAGCAAACAAAAAAAATAATTACCTGACTCTGATCGAAGTTAATTACAGGGATTGAGATGCGTCTCGATGTCGCGGTTGCAGCGAAGGCATTCACGGTGGAGGCGTGATCAGCAAAGCCGCTGCTCTTCGTTGGAGAGGTATCTGGAGTGACTTTGAGTAGTGCAGGCTGGTCGTCTTTTCGTGTGGAGGTATCGTATCGCGGTGGATTTTCCGATGATGCAGCCTCAGGACTTATTGGCTCAAAAATCTCAAGACCTTGGTTTAGGAGGTGGTGAAAGGGTGGACTGTTGGGATGATCAGCAGCATTATATATGGTGGACTTGTAAATACGAGGAGGAGACTCAGGAGTGTACAACCAGGGGGGAGTAGGAGAGGGTGAAACAGCAAGCGGTGAGGATCTTAGAGGGGTAGTGTGTTCAGGAGAGTTGAGGGCAGGAAGCGTGAGGCCAGTGACCATCATAAATCCTCTCTGTGCAGGGCTGTTGTGTACAGGTGTTGTGTGGACAGCTTCATTATGTTCAGTCTCATTGTGTTCAGGGGTCATGTGGACAGGTAGCGTGTGGTCAGGGTTTTTATGTTCAACCCCATTCTGGTCAGAGCTTTTGTGTTCAACTTCAGTGTGTTCTGTGCTTCTGTGGAGAGGATGGCTATGATCAGTGTCTTCGGGAGACGGATTCATGTGTGCAGTGCTTCTGTGGACGGGGGATGACTGCTGTGTTCGACCGTACTGGTGAGCTCCATATTGGCTGATCAACGGTGAGTTGCAGTTTGTGAGGTCTTCGTCCATAGGTGAGGGACATTCCTAAACGTGAACGGTACAAGTGAGGTAAGCTATCTTATTCAACAACGCAAAAAACGTAAACGTTTAAAACAAAAAAATACCATTCCGAGTGCTGGATCCTCATTAGTTGAGGCAATCTTGTCAGTCTGACATCCTTTTGATTGTAGATTAGCTTTACGAGATGATATGACCGTGTGAAAAGTTGTTCGCCTGCTGTGGGTACGGGACTTTCTCCGTTTGATCAGATGACGCAGCGACTTGTACTCTTTCCGAAGTTTGCAGAGCTGGATGGAAACTGTAGACAACATTTCAATGACCTGCTCGTTGGTGTTGCTTGAATCAGAAGTCCTGGGGAAGTAGTTGCTGATCCTTCTCTGTTTGCGGGATGATGATGGTTTGTTTATGGTCTTCCTGGGTTTGAGAATCTCCCTCTTCGGTGCTGGTTCCTCCTTTGAAGGTTGGTATATTAGTATGGGACAAGACCTATCTCCCCCAGGCCACATCTGTTTCTTGAAAGGGTGGTGGTTCACTATGAGACCCAGCATGTACGTAACACGGTCATCAACAGGGACGTCTGCGAAGACTCCCCATCCAGAATGGGGTTGGCTTTCAATAGGTATCAAAGATGTGACCGCCAGCTGAAAAAAAAGATGCATGAAACAATTAACAGACAAAGAGGCAACTAACATACATATATTAGCATAATTAAAAAGTTAAAATAGTTTTTACATTTTGCGCAGCTTCCACGCGTAGTATATCAGTGTAGCTGATGCTGGCGTGAAGAGGGAGATGGGGTTCTTCAAGTTGACTTATTGAAAGCGTGTCTACGGGGGCTGGAATAAGACTCTGCAATTGAGGCACCGCCTGAAAGGCAAGAAGCTGCAAAGCAAGTGGGAATCCCTGAAGCCTGTATGTTTTCTGCTTCAGGAGAGCGACTAGGTCGCCGGCAGGGTCTTTGCCATCAACTGGCGGTTTCATACAGCTGATGGTCTTCAAAAAGGACTCCCTGCCCCAGGGGTGTTGGCAGAATGCGTCCACGTCTTGAACCATTTTGACGTACTTCAGCGTAGGACGTGTCTTCTGCTGGTGAGCGATGAGGACCCCGTCAACGATCAATATGAGAGCGAGTTGCAACTTCTTTCGCGCTGGCATCCGTTTGTCGGTCTCGAGTCTGTGACGCAGATCAGCAATGGTGACAAACTTCTTCTTTCTGATAAGCCTGATCCAGTCTGGATCTGTTGTCACTTTGCTCTGGTCTGGCAGTTCGATCTCATAGTCTGCGGGGAACTCTCCACACGGTAATCCTGTGATTGTGCCAAACTCCTTGAGGCCAAAACGTATAGGGTCGCTTCCGAATACTGACCAAAGTGTGTGACTGTCCTCGCAAAGAAGTTGCCTAGTGAGAAAGGCGTGAATAAGTTTGCAGGAGACGGGACATTGACGTGCTGGGAGCTCAAACAACTTCCCGAAGCAGGAGTTTTTGATGTATTGGAGCTCCTCCGTGTCCCGTAGGATATACTGGATGAAACGGAGAATGTCTGGCTTGGAGAAAATGTTATGCCGACGGGTGGGGAACCGATCTGTTGCGAACAACCTAGGTGGGAGACTTTTATCGGGATTCTTCTGACCTACAAAACATATGACTTCCAACAATCAGTATTACAATACAAAGGTTTCAGTAGTTGAAGCCTAAACCAAACAAAATAAAAGAGGAGCAATAAAACAAACGGCAAATAAGTATCGAACCCAAAAACGAGTCCTTCATCTGGGACTCCGGTGGGGAACCCTATCCCAAATAGTCGAAAAGGATGGAAATCGAACCGATATAAAATCGAAAGTAGAGTAAAACTGCAAATCGTACCTTTCATGTCGGAAGGAGACTTTGATAGATGTCTAGACCGGCTCAAAAGACGAAGCTTCTGTGATTCAGTAACCAAAAGGGCGAGAAGATGAGAAGGAGAGAAGCTTTAGGCGAGAAGATGAGAAGGAGAGAAGCTTTAGAGAAGCTTCTGTGATTCAGTAACAGATAACGCGGCTCAAAAGACGAAGCTTTAGGGTTTGTCGCCGCCGCAGTCTTTCGGAGAGAATGAGAGAATACGAAAAGAGAGAAAATGAAAGAATATGGTTTGACTAGGGTTGCGGATTGGTTTAGTTAGATGTGGTTTTTTTGATTTTGGTTCGATGGAAAACCAACTCGGTTTGGTTTCGATTTTATAGAAGGTTAAAGAGGTCTTTGACTAGTAATAAACTGCCCTCAAAGCAGGATTTGTCTAATAATGAAATATGAAACTGAAAATGTGTCTATGGATGTAATAAATTCTTATTAATTTTTGCGGAGTTACATTAAATTGGAACTGTTGAGTTCGTATATTGTGATATACAGTACATATGTTATCTAAATATTAAAAAGAATATATTTGTCTGAAGACAAAACGATGTTTACTTTAAGTGAAAGTTCTAGGCATGTTCAGTCTGGTGTTTGGTCCGATTTTGGTTCGTTTTTTCTTTGGTTTTTGGTTATTCGGTTTATAAAAATTAGTTATCATATTGGAACCATATTTAATTTGGTTTGGTTCGGTATTTATACTATTGGTTTTCGATTTATTTAGTTTTATACCAAATAACATTATTATTTGATTTGGTTTCATATTATATGAACTTAAAAAAAATATTGTCAAAACTATCATTTATTAAAATAATCCTAGGTGTTCATAAATATAAAAATGTGAAACAATAGTTTTGTACAGATTTTCTTATTTTCTCTTTGTTCTTCCAAATAAATTACATGGTGTAATCTAATTTCACAATTTCTTATAACATGCAAAATCAAATCAAATTTAGATAATAATTAAAGAAAATAAAATAAAATTATTAAGATATATCTTCAAAAGGAATAAAAAAGTAAAAAAATACTATTCTAAAAAAAATAAATCGTGATATAATGTATATATTTATATATTTTTTCTTTGATCGATTTTGTTCGGTTTATTCGGTTTAATCGGTTATAAACCTAACCATATCCAAATCCTACGATTTTTATAAAATCATATCCATTCGATTTATATGGTATATACCAAATCCAAACCATATTATCTATTTCGGTTTAGTTTGGTTCGGTACGGTTCGGTATTACCATATTGAGCAGTCCTAAGTGAAACTTGTGGCGTACTTACAAAGATTTGGAGGACTGAATTTAGTTTAAAATTGGGTTATTTTAAAGAGTTAATGTAATAGAAAATAACGGTATTTAAGATGGTTGTGCTTAATTCACGTGTTTGTAAATTGGGTGTATTATTTTTTTGTTCTTTTATTTTATGTATTTTATTCTAGTCTCATTCGAACTTTCAATTGGTAATACAATGGGGTTGCGATAGAGATGTAGCCTTGTTTCGAATAAGATCAAAGGTGAGTTTGGTAGAAACTTCTTTAAAAAAAAGAGTTTGGAATTTTCTTAATTTTAAATATTCACAAAATATGTATCAGTATGATAGTATAAACATTAAACATAACATTTATTTTATAGTAATATATTTCTTATATAATAAAGTAGAAATTTTTTTTTGATAGAAAAAAGAATATTTGTCATGTTATTATTTTCTGAACGGTGACTTTGTTTTCAGTTTGGGGTTAATTTTTTTTTATTAAAATTTGTTAGGTTTTATTAATTTAGGTCTATAAAAATAAGTTTAGCGTATTCTTAGAATTTTGTTTCTTCGCTGATCAAAATTGCAGAGATCAAAGACAACAATCGCTTCTTTATAACTGCTCATATCTATATTGATAACTACTTTACTTTTAATTTCTACATAATTAAATCATTATTTCCACTCTTTCTACTCTACAATATTCAATTTAAAATAAATGAGAAAAACTCCAACTATAAATATCCATATTTCCATTGATGGACAACACAACTTCGACGAGATAAAAAATAGTTTCTTACTTACTGTTTAATGCAATGACAGTTTTTTTCGTAATTTCTATCTTCATCCAATCGTAATAATATCTGCCGACCAATATCTTAAATCGTATGATTCAGCATAGCCAAACTAAACAAAAACTAAATCAAACTAACCCTACCAAAAAAATTAGGAATCCAACTATATACGTACATTGATACACATATATTCAGTTATATATCATCGTTAATGTAAATTTATAATTCAAAGATAAAAGATAAAGTTGACACGAAATATTTTTAGCACCATTACATAAATGACCACCACACAGTTACACATCTACTCAATAAAATATAAAATCAAAACTAAAAATTTCCAAATTCAGCTGACAATAAATTAGCAAGTTACCTGATATGTGCGCTAACAAAACATTGTAACGGTCAACATCATATAACATCTTTCAACAAAATAAACATCCACATTTATAAATGGTACAATTATACAACCCAAATCTAGAACTTAACCCCACATGCAATTATGATTAGACTAACAAAAAACTATACTGAATTAAACCAACAGAAAATGAAACACCATATCACTACAAGAAAACATGTCCTTAACGACTACATATATAGTAGCTAGTTGGTCAACCAATTAACTTTCAAAACCGAATGGTCGTTATTCGCTAGTCGTAAATCTTTATTAGAGACACATTGGTCGTAATATTACGACTAAATATTTTAGTCGTACCTTCGTTGTATCGTAAGTTAGACAGACGTCTACATACTAATTGTCAATGGGTCATAAATATATGACTAATGAACATCGAAAGTAGAGGTAATCTGGTCGTATATTAACGATTACTTTACATCAACTATAGATGTTCATGGGTCATAAATTTGAGACCAATTTACGTCTCCTTTAATATATTTACAAAAATTTATATTTTAATTAAAAATATAAATATTTTAATTTTTTTTAATTTTTTTTTAATTTAGTTTCTTAAAATTTAATAGATTTAAAATAAAATATCTAATCATCATCCATAAACACAATTATAATATATATAATATAAAATATTCAAAATACAAATTAATTAAAACCGAAAAAACTAAGTATTAAGGTTTATTTCGTCGAAGAGATCAAAACCAGTCTGATCACATGACTCTCAAAATCTTCCTGCTGTTCTGGAGTGGGGTCGGGGTTAAAGCTCGGACGTAGAGTCTGCCACGTAGTGGCAACAGACGGGTTTACGTTCGCGGTTGTCTATATCATGAGATCGAACATATTTGCCATAGCCTTAAATTTGTTGGCAGCTGCCAAATCCCTCCGGAGAGAGTAATCTTCTTCCATTCTTGCAGCGTGGTCAGATCTCGCCCTTGGGACATCATTCACAGTCCTGATCCCAACTATACGTATCTTTCTCTTCGGGACAACCTTCAGTTAATGAATGGATATTAATTAATTAGTACGTATGTAAAAACTAAATTAAAATTAAAAATTGTATATAAACATAAATTTAAAAGATCGAATATTTTACCTGCTCAAAACTTTTTTCTTGTTCAATGGTGGAAAGTTGGACCGGTGCACCTTCTGGATTTTGTTGCGACAATTGAGTCTGGACCTCCTGGATCCGAGCCTCTACATCGTTGTAGATCTTCTCTGCTTGAGCATGCAAAAAAGTGCCATCAGAATGCTGGTGTGTCATCTTCTAAAGTCGGGTCAGAGATGGTGGCGCTCCTTTGGCAGCCTACTGATATGACTCAAATAAGAGGTTCAATTGTAGTACTTAGGGATCGAATCCACAAGGAGCTAAGAAACCTAATAGATCTAATAGTTATAAGATTAAGCTAGGCTAATAAGTTTTAATGCAGTAAATAAATTAGTAAACTAGAAAGCAGTAAACAAGATGAACAAGGTAATTGTTCAGCTTGGCATAGATTTGTTGGATGGAAGGATGGTTGCTAGATCTAGGGTTTCTATTCAGGTAATTAGGATTATAATGCTATAAATGCCTAACAAGTTGCATACATGATATTAAAGAGTTTCAACTCTTAGATAAGTCTATTAGCTTTCGCTATCAGACACGTCTATTGATCTGATGCCGTCAATATCGATCGATATCACTGTCGTTACATCGATCGATATACCTTATCGTCGATCGATTACTCTATAGGAGTATCGATCGATATAGATTCAGATCGAGTTGAAATAATGCCCACGAAGATCATAGAGCGGCTCTCGCGTAGCCCTAGAGGATCTTAGCTTGTACATGATGATATCATGATGAAGATTAATAAATTAAGCTATACCAGTTCATGGTTCTAGTTCATGACTCTAGAAGCAAGCATTAAGAAAATCCTAACGATGAATATCACAACTTAGCAATCTATAGTTGGGGCTAATCCCACAACCTATCTGAACCCTAAACCTAACAGGCGGATCTACTCAGACATGAGGTTTGTCACATAAATCATAGATGAATTGATATAAAACTGAAATAGAATAGATATAAAAAACAATAGAATTCCAGGAGGACTCTGATAGGAGTTCCTCCCTTCTCTCCTAACTAAGAGAAACAATAGAAAAGAACTTAGAAAAGCTTAGATAGTTTGTAACCGTCAACAATGGCTTAGAAATATCATAACTAGGGTTTCTGGTCGTCCAAGGGTATTATGGTAACTTGTGGGCTTCAGTCGGTTATGAAATTTAGTCAGCCCACTTTCTGGCATTCATATCGACTGTATGAAGTGTTTCCCATCGATCGATATACATCTCTTCTCGACAGCCTTCTCTCGTGAGGCAGACTGACCACTTTTCAGTAAAACAGGCATAACTTCTGATCTAACCGTTGGATTGACCTCACACTGTTGCATTGGAAATCTAACTCAAAGCTCTATCTTGTTTCAAAAGATGGCCTCAATCGCACCGTGGGAAGGTCTCCATTCATATCTAAACATCTGACGCGTTTGCGCAGTTCTGCACTTAAAGGCTCCAAAAGACACCAAAATCACCATATTTCTCCATAACGTACCTAAACCTGTAAATACTCTAAATAGACTCCATATTGTAGTAAATATATGTGAAAACACCTATAAACCATGGCTAAAAATGGGTAAAATTCATGGTCGATCAACTCCCCAGACTTACCCTTTTGCTTGTCCTCAAGCAAAACAAACAGGCAGTCTCTCTGAAAGAGGTTTGAAAACAGCAGGGACTCAAAAGATTTTAAAAACTCAGTCACCATCTCTCTAGTAGTGCAAACAAAATCATAAACATCCTTACCTTAGAAGCACATTATACAATATCCTATTATAGCAACCAAATTCACCTAGTCAACAACTCAACAGATCATGTCCGACAATCCCCTGTACTAACCTCATTTCTTACATAAAATAAAAGTGCAGGCTTTACCCTCGTGAGGCAGACTGACCACTCTTCAGTAAAACGGGCATAACTTATGATCTAATCGTTGGATTGACCTCACACCGGTTGCATTGGAAATCTAATTCAAAGCTCTATCTTGTGTCAAAAGATGGCCTCAATCGCACCGTGGGAAGGTCTCCATTCATATCTAAACATCTGACATGTTTGCGCAGTTCTGCACTTAAAGGCTCCAAAAGACACCAAAATCACCATATTTCACCATAACGTACCTAAACCTGTAAATACTCTAAATAGACTCCATATTGTAGTAAATATATGTGAAAACACCTATAAACCATGGCTAAAAATGGGTAAAATTCATGGTCGATCAACTCCCCAAACTTACCCTTTTGCTTGTCCTCAAGCAAAACAAACAGGCAGTTTCAATGAAAGAGGTTTGAAAACAGCAAGGACTCAAAAGATTTTAAAAACTCAGTCACCATCTCTCTAGTAGTGCAAACAAAATCATAAACATCCTTACCTTAGAAGCACATTATACAATATATATATATTTGTATATATATTTTGTCAATCCCAATGAACAACAAATGCTCATCTTATTGATCTTTCTATTTTTGTAGCTTTTTCTGGCAAAGTGTAGGCGAATAGTGGGGTCGGGTAATGTACCACTCCCTCGCTTCCACAATGTGTGATCATTCCTTTGAATTAGAATAGTGGGGTCATGGGTAATGTACCTCTCCCTCTGCCTCTCAGGAAATCATCTCAGTCTTTTATTTTTCTTTTTGGGATGCCAAAGGAAGGAGAAAAGGAAACCAAAATCACCAAGACTTTTACCTTTCAGATCTGAAGGAGGAATCCGATCCAGTGTATACCAATCCCCAAGACAAGCAAATAAGGTCAATATTAGGTTGGAGGTCAGCTTTGGTTCCTTCAAACATTCTCAGCAAGTGCAAACATAGTTGACAGGTTGATCCACTTTAGTATCTCTAGTACTTCTGCAATCAGTAAATCTAAGACTGGTCTAAAGAGTGGTTAGATGACAAGTAATAAATCGAAATAAATCATCATCCCCTTCTTGATTCAATAAAAAAAAATTTAAAAAAAAAATTTTAAATAAGACTCATAAAGTAGATAAACGTTAGTAATCCCCCCAGACTTGAATTACACTGTCCCCAGTGTAACACAGTCGGTCGTAAGATGAAAATCAAAAAGCAGAAGTACGAAATTTAACAAGTAAGAACGATATATCTGACCAGATTAAGTATCGATTGATGAAAAAGAGTTACCATCGGTCGATGCAAGTGATGTACTATCGATCGATATCGAATGTTTCTCGTCGGTCGATTATCATGGTAATCATCTACTTGGATCTGCATTTCTAAATATCTAACTAAACACACAATATTAGTAGAACTTCCCCCAGACTTAAATAACATTGTGACCAATGTTATAAAGCCTAAGATTGGTGGGACAATAAACCATAAGGAAAATATTTAACAAAGAAAGACTGTATATCTGCTTTGATGTGAGTATCGATCAACACAGTTAAGTGGCGATCAATATTCTTGATGCTCTATCGATCGATACTAGCTAGTCATCGTTGATTCTTATGCAAACTCATCTTCCTTGAATCTTTCTCCTAATACCTAACATAAATAAAACATTAAACTCTAAAAGTTAGTAATAGATAATTAATAAAACCAATTTTTTTTGGATGAACAGTTATCCTGCTACAGTGACTCTGCTACAGTATAGGTCAATTTTCTGCTACAGTATCGGTCGATTTTTCTGCTACAGTGTCGCTCGATTGCTACAGTGCTGTCGTTACTGTTCATCATTTTTTTTTACCTGAAATTCTTAGAAAACAAAATATCAGTAATAAATGAAAATAAAACAATATTTAAAATTACCTAACAGTGGGTTGCCTCCCACTCAGCGCTTATTTTTAGTCATTAGCTTGACTTCTGGAAATCTGATTCAGTCCGGATGAGAAAGAGAACTTGCTCCAGGACAAGTCTCATTGTCCAATCTCTGAAGCTTTATCATTCTTGTGTGAAAGCCTCCTCCATAGACTTTTCTCCTTTGTCTATCATCTCAGCAATAAGGAGTGCTTTAAGCTTTGCATAAGGATGTGAGAAGCATCTGCTGCGCACTCTTGATTTTCTGATACCATCTGAAAAGTGAGGAGTCAATGCTAACTAAGAACCTCCTTTGGTTCGTTTCCGCTTCTTCCAATTTCTCCCCTTCTTTTCCTGACATCATCTGAGAAGTGAAAAATCAATGATAACTGAGAACCTCCATTGATTCTTTTTCTCTTCTTCCAATTTATCCCCTTCTTTCCCCCAGACTTGTCTGAATGCGTGGTGGTATCTCCATCAAAAATATTTCCACACACTTCATACTCATTCTGCTCTGATTCGCGCCTGGTGTCGATCGATGTACCAATGGTAGTGTCGATCGATGGTTGATTGATGATTTCGATCGATGGTGTCTGGTCAGTGTTGATCGATGCTTCTTCTGCTAGGGCTTTATCGATTTCATCTCTAAATCTCAACCCTCTCTGTGAAACTTTCACGTGCTGATGATCATCTAATACTCTACTATAGGAACTTAACTCCATACTTTTATTTGGTGGGATAGGAGATTCAGCCTCAAACACCGGCATTTGGAACCATAATCTTAACATGATCATGTATCCTTTTCACTCTTTTGTGAAACCCATCAGCTTCTTCTGTCCAAATAGGTGGTCTCTGATGTTTAGGGACAGTAATGTGTGAGGCTTCAGAATTATGCACTATCTCCTCAACTGGTTCCAGCTTAACTATGTATCCTGGCAGTTCATCCAATCATGGTTGTCGATCGATACAATCGGGTGGGTGTCGATCAATGCAGTCGGATGTATGGCGACTGTCGATCGATGCCGTAAGGTGGATGTATATCGATGATGTAGGGAGGGTATCGATCGATCTCATCAGGTTGGTGTCGATCGATGCTAGCCTTTGATGAAGTCTCTCCATCTTTCCTCTTAGCATTATGTTTGTCATCAAGCTTCTGCTCTAAATCTGATATATATCCTCAAGCCATTCCTTCAGCTCCAAGAAGTCTTCTATAGTAACTTCTTTACTTGAATCCAAATCTCCAAGATCCTCTCCATTCTCTATGTTTACATCCAAGGAAGGAGAAGAACTTGATACATCAGTGCTCGTCTGTGTCGAGTCTGCAGTGTCCTGAGGACAATTCGAACTTTCAAGGATTTCAAGTGGTATCGATCGATGACAAAAGTCTTTATCGATCGATTCTGAGATGCTGGTGTCGATCGAT